TAATGGTAGTCTTGCTCTGAAAGATGAAAGCTTTCTCAACAATCACAACACAGATGGTTTTGCTGTTAGTAGTCATGAGATTGGTGCGATTCTATCCCATGTCATCATTTTTCCTTTTCAACTCAAACAAAGAATCTAACCTGCAAAAGACTTGAAATTCTGGATCCAAAAGACAATGCTACTTTGCCTCTAGTATTGATAAGCTCATAAGTTTCCAGCTTTCAATGAGTTTATTCTATAGGTTCCTAATGCTTTGTTTCCCTTAATTTTTCCTTCCAGTGTTATCTGGTGCTAAGAGATCCCGAGCTACTGTTGACGAGCAGCAACCTTCAGTACAGGTCACCTATAAGTCCTTGACAAGGTATGGAACTTTGTTATTCAAATTCTATATGGTTGACTATTTCTAAAACAATTCTTCCATTGCTTGATTGCTGATCTCTCTTAATTTATCCAGAGATAGTAAAAGAAAGCTTGAGGAGCTATTACAGCAGTGGTCACAGTGGCACGCTCAGCATTGCTCTTCATCAAAAGTAACTTTCATTCAACTTGAATAGATTATATTAGTTGCTATTTGCTTGCGTGCTCATTTTTAAGCCTCCTGTTTGCTTAATGGTTCTTGTGTCTTTCTTTTTGCGATTAGCTTAGTATTATGTATTGTTCTTACTTTAGTGTTATGTCCTGCCTTAACAAGAAGAAATGCTTTTTACCATTGGCAAGATGCTTTTATCCCTAGTAAAGTTAGTAGAGCCTATAAAACAAATTTTTGTTGATGTTGATAGCCAGAACATAGTGAGCTCTAGGTAATGTAATAAGAAGTGCTGGGGCTGCTAACTGTTTTAACATAGTTTGCATTCCGACAAGGAAAAGGAACAATTATTCAAGATTGTCTTAATAAGAATGTTCATTAGATCATTGCTCTTAGGGTCCAATTCTTGACTGTACTTGATTGGTATTGGAACCAAATTTTCTTTTCTATAACAGATCTGTTTGCCTTTTTGCACATACTATCCCAAGTGCTAAAGTGCTACTCTATCAACTCAGGAATCAAGCCAAGTTCTAGAATCTGGTGAAGATACATATTTCCCGGCTCTTCAAGTTGGTGTAGATAAGCATTCTGCAGTGGTATATTTGCTTTCCCTTTAGACATGTTCCTTTGTTGGTTTTCAGTTGATACTAAATTAAAGATCTTCATCTATTTTACTTAATGCAAAATGAGTTACCTGTGCCATTCAGCTTGTGCATTCCAAAAGTTATAAACGTCTGCCTGCCTGTTTGTGGGAGCTGATAGAGAGAAGGGGGGGGGGGGTGTAAGCAACAGAAATTCTGTATCTCAACATCTTTGAACAAGCTTAAAAAGAACCTTGTTAGCACACCAATGATCTAATAAATGTCAAAATTGATAATAGTTCTCAGGTCAAAAGAAGGGCTGGATGGGTGAATCAGCTCATTAGTCGAGGGATTGCTAAATTATAAGCCATATTTTATCACAATGCTTTCTGGTTTTTTTATTTTTCAGTAAAATATCTACAGAATGTTAGCTAGTGAAAGATAGAAATCAACTGCTCTTTGTTTAATTAGAGTTAGTTTAGGACTCTCCACTGTTTCCTGTTCTTGGTGCAGTTTAAAATGCTAGTCTTATGCAATTTTCTATCTAGTTTCTCAAACCAAAAAGAAGGGAAAAAAATCCACATAGAGTAGGAGTATAGGACTGTACTTAGTGTTGTCTCCTGTGTATTCATATCTTCAGATTTGTGTTGAGAAATTGCGATCGCTTGCATGTCTTGATAATCTAATACAATGTAAGACTATTTCTGGATTAATAATTTAGCTTCTTATTATGTTCATCTGAATAAATGCAGAATGTGATCTGGATTTGGATTTTCCATTGTCTAGATGAGTTAAATGCACTTTGTCAAATTTCTTTAATACTATGTTCTTTCAACTCATTTTAGAAATTCTGTTTTCAATGTAGTCTTTTTGGATGGAGAATGAAACTAGGTGCAGACAGAACAAGGAAGTCATTCCATTTGATGGAAACTCAGTTCCTGTTTATGATCGTGGATATTCATTAGCTTTAACTGCAATGGATGGTTCAAGTAACTTGGGGTAAAGGATTTTTCATTCGAAATTGAATATGTACAATTTAGTCCCATGTGTTGTCTCCATTTCCGTGAACATCAGATTGCCCACATATGGATATTATGTTGTTCAACCATACACTCATGCTTTTCTTTTTCCCTTTCCATTTCCCTTTTAAAATCTAATGTTCTCCTTTGCATGGCAGAGTATTGGAAGTAGTGGAAGGTTCCCGTTGTTTCAATTGTGGCTCATACAACCATGCACTGAAGGACTGTCCCAAGCCTCGTGATAATATTGCTGTTAACAATGCTCGAAAGCAACATAAATCTAGGCGTAACCAAAACCCCAGTTCGCGCAACCCAACTCGATATTATCAGAATTCTCCTGGTGGCAAGTATGATGGACTAAAACCAGGCACTCTTGATTCTGAAACACGCCAGCTTTTAGGACTTGGGGTATGGTAGCTTTTGGGATTTTCCCATCTGCTTTTAAGAATGCTTCATGTGAACTAAATTGTGGTGAATTGGATTCTTTTTTGCAGATCTTGAACTGCAATTATTATTAATTTTTTTTAGGGGGATGCCTTTTAAGTTGCAGTGTTAGGTTTCATGCAAGTTTAAAATTGCTTATCAAGTGTTTTGTGACTAATTTCTGTAGGAGTTTGATCCACCTCCGTGGCTTAACAGAATGCGAGAAATAGGATACCCACCTGGCTATCTAGGTAATCAGGCATTTCCAAGGTCTTTGATTTTTTAAATTTTCTTGTCATTATTACATAGAGGTCTTTAATGAAAGAAAAAATTGTTTTGTTTAGTTTTAACTTGTAGCCATGTGTTTCCCTTCCACATTTTGAAGTTTTACTCAGAATGTGTTCCGTATTTCTCATTAGACTTTTTCCTTCCAATAAAACTGCGTGCTTTTCAAGTTTATAATTGAGAAACAGCAATGCAATTTTTCTGCCCTGTTTTGTCCTCCTATTTAGTTGTTTTTTTTTAAATCAATTTCTTGATTGGCAGGAAGATAACCCGGCTTTTGATGTTCTGAATCTCATTATTTATATAGATGACATGTCATCTTTGATACCTATTGACACGATTTTCTTATCTCTCCTCCATATTCTGAACCTAGTTGCCTTTATCCTGTGGCCTATAGAAGTGAAAAAAAAAAAAGGCTTTGCATTTCATTTGTTGGTTTTATTGGTCAGTAATTGAACTTTGAATAGCCTTAAGCAGTATGATGACATCTTGACATTGTTTTGCAGATCCAGACAATGAAGACCAGCCATCGGGTATCACAATCTTTGGTGATGAGGAAAATGGGGAAGATACAGAGGAAGGTGAGATTCTTGATTCAAGCCATCCTGAGCCAGCTAGAAAAATGAGCATTGAATTTCCAGGGGTAAATGCACCAATCCCACAAAATGCAGATGAAATGCGCTGGGCAGCTGGGCCTTCAGATCTAAATATGTCTAGAAATCGTTCATACAGCAGATCCAATCGGACATCAGATTCTGGAAGCAGAGGTCATTATCATGAGCAGAGGTTGTCAAGGAGCTTTGAAGATGACGAGCCTCCTCCCCCTGGCTGTGAGGTTGGTAGCCCCTCGTGGTCAAGTTATTCTCACAGGTATGGTGGCTTTGAACCTGGTTATTCACCCCGGAGTCCAGGAGATAGTCGAGTGCCAAGAAGCTCTAGTTTTGACAGATCCTTGTCAGCCAGAGCTAGAAGAAGCCCCGTTGTCCATAACGATTCTTTAAAGCATTTTCCATATGGTAACTTACCTTACTCATCTCCCAGATAGACTGGCGAATTACAATATTCGGGCTGTAGAATTAGAATCCCATGTAACATAAGCATGATTCTTCTTGTGATTTAATGTGTAGTTGCAACGGCATGTATGCTGTCCATCAATGGATGGTTGGCATGCTAAATTTTGGTGTGAAAATTCTGTTCAAATAATTTCTTGCTGTACAGTGAGTAGATGACTAATGACGAGACTAGGCAGATCTGCGGTACGAGTCTCGTCATTTATTGTGTATCCTCTGGTTTATGAATTCCAAATTGTCAACAGTAATTGTTAGTTTAATATTGTATCGAACGTGATTTTCTAGTAGGAGCACAACCAAAGAGGATACTCTGTGGTCTTTGCTTGTGATGCTATCTTCAGGTATCTGTACGGAGCTACGCATGAGATGCTCCCGGCTGCCGAGCTTTACGATTCGCACGAAGTGGATTAACTTATTGGTTCTGCCGCATCAAGTTTTGCCCTATGATTTGCACAAAGCGTCTCTCTGGGGAGGAGATGTTTTCTTCTGGACGCAAAGTGCTATCTATAGTTTTCGCAATACTGAGCAGGTACTCTGAGTTCTTAAATTGTGATGTAGTTTTCTACATATTATCTAAATTCTCAATGGGATTTTTTTTTCCTTTTTCTATTCCATTGTAAATTTAAGTTGTGTGTGTTGTTCCAATCAAAAGGCTATCACAACTGTCATACAAATTCAACATTTTAATGTCGTAACTATGATAAAATAAAAATATTTTCTTTTTCAAAATTATTTGTCTCCGTTTGGGATATCAAACGTTTCATGGCGTGACGTTAACAAATAGATTTTGGGTGCAGTATCCAACTTTCTCTGGCAGAGGTTTAATGATGAAAACCCACTGCGGCTACAAATAATAGCTGACGCGACCGACATCAATCTACGGACAGCATAACAGGCGGCTGATCACTTGAAATTTTGATCACTTTATGTCTGCCCACCAGCCTATCCCCTCACAATCACAATGGAAGCCACATGTTCGAACCACCACGCCACCAATGGGCAAGACTAAACTTAAAATAGCCTGGACGCGTCCAATCACAAGAAAAGGTACATATAGTTCGAACACCCAAAAGAGCCCGTGCAGAAGACTGGAACATAAAGGTCAACATCTCCAACGGAATAATTTTAAGACCAAATAACCAAATGCACTATGAGATACAGATGGGGTCCAAGGGCACTGCAAGTTTGCACAAGGTAAATGATGCAGACGTTATTAACACTTCCAACGTTTTAAGAATAGAACCACCGGGAAGAACGATCATAGCCCAAATAGTTAAAACACCAGAATTTCTATCACTGAATACGCTTTATTTCTGATACAAATGTAAAAATCTCCAATCTCCTCGCTAGAGAAGAAACTCTACTCTACTTCCTGCAGGTAATCATCAACTTCAGCTGGTGAAAGCACCCTGCAAGAATACAAGCAGATTGATACTTTCAATGAAAAAGTCATCAACTAACAAATATCATCCACCTAATTATGCGCATGCTTGTTAAAGAGAACATCAGTTACTTGCCTAAATTTTCTGTCATTGCCAATAATGCCAATCTCAATGTTTTTGCCAGAAATTTGTCCTTCAAACCTGAGAAGCACATGCAAAGTAGGTTTATTTAGGACAACTAACAAACGTAAGTGTTTAACCAAGGGAAGAAAGATACTGAATATAAGCTCAAACATGAGCAGACACGCGAATCAGTAATTTCAGCCACAAAGCCAATAGGAGGTCAAAACCTGAAAAATGCTCGCTCAAGCTTTCAAGACTTTCAACAAATTATTTGTGGTTATCAACTCTTCTCAAATCAACAAATAACAATTACAAACGATTTGAGGTCAAGTGTGGATACTTACCCCTCTTTGAGGGTCAAAATAGCAGTGTGAACAGCGTCATCAAGTTCCATATCCTCCGTGTACCTGCATGAAATAGTCATATTGGTTCTTTCGGCAGTATTGGTGCAATAAACTGTATAAAAGCACCTCAACAATCAACGCTACTCAATGATCTTTAAGAGGCTTAAGTCAGCTAAGTGGCGAACTTAATCCAAAAAAGTAAACACATTCTTAGTTATCTTAGAATTGCATCTTGCCAGTTGCAATAAGCAAAAGGTGAGCAATCAAAACTGCATCAGAAACAAGCAAAATTTACAATCATTTCACTTCTATATTGCATTAGAAGAACTGCACAGTTCATTCTCAAAGAAAATGCAGTTAAAAGTTGCCACTGCATCTGAAAGATTTGTCAGAAAGATAAAGAAGAAAGAAAATAATAACATTCGAAAAGTAACTGAATTCCACAAACAAAATGGGTTTTCCCAGAGACAGTCCACTTAATCAGGATTACAAGAACATTCAATACGTTATCTCGAACGGTAGTAGTTTTAGAATGTGAAAGAAATTTTACAACTCAAAACACACTTCACCAGAAAAGAAAATGTGGATATAAGAAAGATAATGCATTAATAAAATCTACAAAAGTACAAAGACTAAAATGAGCAGAAAGTTGAAGCCGAACTATCACTATAAAATAAGCCATAAAATAGAGGTTCTAGAATTCAGAAATGATAACTACTCACCTCTTTTCGAGAAACGTTTTTGCATTAGACACATTCTTCCCCATAGCTGAAGCTTTCCATGAGAAGTATGAACCTGATGGATCCACCTACGCAAGCAAAAAGCAAAAGAGATATCAAGAATAATCAAAACTCCCATGGCACTTAGATAGGCAAACAAAAAATTTGTGACAGCATATTTAAGCTAAGCCAAGCCACAAAATATCTAAGCACCAGAACTGGAGAAATTTGATGACATACTTGATAAAGTTGTGGCCCCTTGTCATCATATCCAGCAACCAAGAGTGAAACACCAAATGGTCTTACACCACTACAAGAAAAATAGGGAAAATAAGAATGATAAAAAATATGGTACTCATTTACAATCTATATCAAAGGTCCAAATGAGGCAAGTATAGTGAAAAGATTAGAACCACAGATTCAGCTCCCGAGAACCTCTGGAAAATCATGCTGGTAATTCAGCTTTATGTATCTATCCTAAATTATGTTACTAAATATTTCCACCAAGCAACAGTTGGGAAAAAGAAATGTTAATATTGCAAATAATGTCTACCCAAGTAAGATTATCTATATTTACCAGAGAAATGAAGTAGGCCTTCTTTTCTTTTTTCGTTTTTACTTTAGTAATCCAATGTACTAACTTCCATGGTTGATTAAATTGTGAAAATGACAGTAAGCACCTGTAGACGGGACTCAGCAAAATGTTTTCAGAGATGAAAACAACTCTGACACCACGAATCCCGTGGTATGCAACCAGAAGCCAACTTTCAGGAAAAGAAACCTTCTTAATAAATGTTTTTCATGCTCCACAAAGATTCACTTTTCAAACATTATCAGCAACCTTTATGGCAGAACAAAACTATATTTTCACATGGAAAATTAAGAAACTTTGGTTGCCCTCATAAAAGTCAAACTAAGATTTTAACCATATAAACTATTCTAGCTCCACCACTATGGAGGTTGCCATGTCTTAACATTAGAAACCGTGATATAGAAGTACTCACTCCATAAGTTGGCCCACTCTGCAACATACAGAAATCAATACAAATCCTTTTCTAGGTGAAGCAAATATAGTTGCCAAAAAAAAGTTAGACTTCAAGTGTTAGACATATAAAAGAAACAGCAGTACTATTGTGAAATAACAACACAATAGTGCTGGAAACCACCAATTACAAACTGAGTTAGATAACAGCATAAACACATTACCCTGATTGAGTAAATTCCTGCATGACAGTAGCAGTTTCCCGGACAAGTTGTGTAACAGGAACTGGTTCCTGTCAACCAACAGCAAAAAGCAGAAAAGGTAAGCAGCAAACACTAACATTTTATTATCTTAAATGAAACACAAGATTCCAGAAGCAATGAAGGTGAATTTGCTGCATTCAGGCATGAAGATATCTCAGCAGCATTGCTGCAACTGGAGCATAAGAACCAATCATTTTCATCACTCTAACTTCAGAAATGTACACAACATATTGAATTGGTAATGAGTAGCTGCCTATCATTTAAGTCATCCTGAAACAGGATTACAGATGGACTGCAAACCAACCATGATGAATGCAGCACTACCGAGCTCTTCTGACTCTCAAGAATGCAACATCCAAGGCACTAACGAAAGAGATGCTAACCAACTTCCAAGGTAGAGTTACCAATTTTACATATATAATACATCTTAATCAAATCTAATCTTGGCTTCTCCTGGAATAGCCATTCCCAGTTTTTTTTTTTGAAATAAGTATATGCCTTATACATAATATTATAATTAAATCAGTGTAAATTAAAAAATCAATAATCTACCTCCCTTAGCTAAAAATGCAATCTCAAAAGAAAAGCTGTATAACATCATGTTCCCAGAATAGAACTCAAAATGGTACCACTCCCTCTAGAGAAGAAAAAAGCAACTCAATCATGCTCAGAATTCCGTTTACCGAGGGTTTAATCCTGAACTTCTAAAATTAATATTACACCATTCCACCAAATCATAACACGTCACAGTTTCAGAAAACAGATAGAGAAAAGTTTGAACATTGCTGCAAAGGGACATCACTTACTTTATACAGCCGATGATATTGCTCGGCTTGCTTCCTACTTTTCCGAACTAGAACTCGGAAATCAGGGCCCATACCACTGCAGATATTAGAGAATGTGAAATGTCATTAAAGAGACAAGAATATGTGTCAAAGTGCAGGTGCAAAAACTGAAAGAGGGAGAGAAGCTAGCTCACAAAACAAGTAATGCTTCAAGTAAGTAACCCATCAACTTTTAAGATGAATATAGGACAAGCTGACAAGACTACCTACTCAATACACTTTCTTCAAGTAGTCAATTGCCCGTCTACATTTTGATAAGAGCATAGCTAAAACTCAAAAACCAACTCAACCAAAATTCATTTAAGGGGCTAAATACTGGTAATGGTAAAAGTAAAGCACTCCAAAAGGCATATATGAAACACCTATATCCCCTGTATTTAGCTATTTCCATGTATGCCGCCCTACTGTTGTGCTTTGCAATAGAGTAACTAGCAGTCTAGCTAAATGCTACTCACAAGATATGCACGTGGTATGGGGAAAAAAATGTTTGACCAAATCAAAAGGAATATGGATCTGATCTATACAACCAGAAGAATATAATAGAGTAACCTCAAAAGAATGAAATGCTGCATTGCACAAACATAAATAAAATATATACCTGTATACAACTCCAATATTTGGAGTCAAATTCTGGATCTTTTGTACCTGAAGCAACCAAATCCAAAAATGGGTTCAGACATTGTTCAGTGAAGAAGCATCTGGAAATTTAGAAAATATAAAGAATTCAAATTCCAACCTAAAAAAAATCAAGTAGAAACTCTGAGGCAAAATACAACTTGAAAAGAACACAATTAAAGTTGAAAAATAAAAATGAAAAGGCTCTAGACAATAACAGAAATAGTTCAGTGAAATACATTTGGGATAAGGGGTAACATTGCTTTGATATGAGAAAATGAGATGCATACATATGACATGGATTTTTTTTAAAAAAAAGTTCATGTGGTATAAGTACAATAGTTCGTACAGAATGAATATGTGTGGGTGTCAAAAATCAAATAACCACACATGACCATACAAGAAAACAGCAAGAGAAAGCTTTCTCCACAAAATACAAAATCCAGCAGAACCTTATGTAACCAACTCTGACAGCAAAACATGTTGCCTATCCAAATGCAATGCCACATGCTTGAGCTAAAGTAAATAACCATTTCACAAATAAATCACAGAATTGCACAGCATCAAAAGTGGACTTTATTTCTAGTAAAAACTTATGATTTGAACATATCAAGATTCATACTAGTTATAGTTGCTATGTCCACGCATCCCATGATTTCCTACGAAAAGGATTATAAAGAGAAAAAAACATAAGTAAAATTCAGGACAACCTAAGAGATACTCTTTAAAACTTACAGATGTCTCGTCGACCAGGATGGATGGTAATTTTTTCTCAGTTGCAATAACAACACCATTAGCAGCTGCCATGACCAGTATAGACGTGTGAGAGGATACAGGAAATAGGTGCAACTATACTTGTTCTTTATAAGCCAGCCAGGAGATACAAACTACCCATCATGGAGATATTGTTTGCAATACAAATATAATTCACAAGAACGCTAAACAAAAAAGAACGCTACTGATATTTCTATACAAAATTGTTAGACCAAAACTACACAAGTTGATTTCATGAAGGTCAGTGCTCTCTAAGCCTTGTATGTACAGTTTTCCTCATGCGAGTAATTATATTTATGAACTGAGAACCGTATCAGAAACTTAGGTCACTAAATGGTGCAGTGTTTAACTATATATTAAGAAATGATGAAGACAAACAAGTATACATGTAATCTGTAAAACTTGGTATCACACGTTGAACCAAACCATCGCGGATGACTAGTACTAAAAAGCACATTAAAAGTCCTGAATTACCTTTAATCCCCAATGATGTTTGACCAGACCCAACTGCAGTTAAGGCATGTTCAATCTGAACAAGCTTCCCAGATGGGCTGTTAAAAATTAAAATCTCTGTAAGGAAACTTGCATAGGGAAAAACCAAACATGCTTAAACAAATAGTATAAGCTTAGTTAGGAACGTAAATTTTTCCAGAAAAGGGCAAGCAAGTTCGTACCTGAAGGTGGTGAGAGAAAAGGAGTACTGACTATCACCCATTTGAATCTAAATGGATTTTTCAAGTAAAATCCTGCAAATTGACCAATAAATGCCAAAAAAAAAGGGTCATACTTCTTAATCGAATTCATCTACAAACTAGTAATACAGTACAGATGTCAAAATTTTAATAGAAAGTTTTAATTTCCCCCAACCAGTTTATCCTCGTTACAAATCTATCAACGTCCCTTTTCTTGTACCCTTTTCTTGTACTATCTTGCCTTAGTTACCACTAGAACTGTTCTCATCCGTCACTTCACTTGGCTGATGGAGCAAAATTGATAGAGAAAGGGAAAAATAAAGCTTTCTCCGCTCATACTCAAACTATGATCGACACATTTCACCAAGTAAATTCACAGCTATCCCTAATGTTTGCTAACACTTCGAAGCTCAAAATGCTGCCCGTGGCAGCTAAGGCCGTGGAGATCCACGGAGACTGGAGGGCGACAGAGCCTCGAGGCGGTAAAAGTAAAAAATTCAATATGCCTTCCCTGTAATTCTTCTGATTACCTCTAACCGACTAAATTTCTAAGCTGTAATTCTTCTTGTTACCTCTAACCAATTTCTAAGCTGCTATAAGGTTGTGAAAACTTCTCGCCAGCAAACTATAGTTTGAATTGAAAAGCTTCTGCACCACCCGCCCGATGCAGTCTTGATGTTGCCGTCTGATAAAAGATGATATTGAAATCAAGTTCCGAAGATATGTCTGTCCGTTGGTGATGCCTGAGGAAAAGGAGATGGATCAAAGAACGAAACAGGGTTTCAGCGAGACAAGTCAGAAAAAGACCTGGCTTTTGTGGGTGGATTTCTTGTTCCACAAGAACGGTAGCTCAAAACCCATCTGATCTAGTTACAGCTTTGAATGTTACTGTTAAGGAATTAACCATACGCACTGCAACACCTACCTTGAGTTAAATTCGTTAAAGCCCATCTAAAAGTAGTGCCCAATATATATTCCATGAGAGGCTACATACATTCAGCCCTTGACTTCCTGCATCAGGGCCCAATTTAAAGAAGCGTCCAATCCAATATTCCATTGTAGGCTACATTTTGCCCTAGGCTTCTTGGGTTGGTGCAGATATTTTGTCAGCCCACCACTATCTCTTGGCTGCTGACGTGGACAAAGATATTCGACTCACACACCCAAAAAAAATACAAGCTAGATTTGATTCAAAAATTTCAGGAAAATATATAAGCTTCTTAGGAGAAGTCAACCACCGGTCATACGCACACTACTTTGGGATAAAGTTCTAAATTTGGATTTTTGCTATATTATCTTATAGGACCTTTTTTTAAAGATTTAAAGTATGAATTTTAATATATTTTCTTTGTGTGAAGTGAAGGAAAATTTTACAAAATAGTTGCTTATATCTTTTTTAATCTCTCGAGTGGATAGCAAAATTAGATCCTACGATACCTGTATAAAATTCACAAAAAGCGAAAGTAAAATTGTCGAAGTCGAAAAACCATCAAAAGAGATGGTTGTACTTTGTGTGTGCAATGGATGATTGTGAGTTTTTTTGTAATCATTATATTATCTCATATATAGATATTAACCAATTAGAACAACTGTTTTTATTTGTAAAATGGATGAATATTATAGTTTTTGAAATCACATAGGGGCTTTCCTGTAAGTTGATTAAACCACGGGGAGTTTTTTTTTTTTTTTTTTTTTACAGTTTACCCTTATATATAATAGGGTATTTTTGTCATTTCATTTACCTACATTAGTTTTGATAATTTCCGTTGCTTTTCAGCTTAATTTAAATTATGAAGTGTTATATTATATGTTTTGAAACTACAATGGGATTTCCTATATATTCACTTAACCACTATTGATAATTTTTTTTTTTTTTTTGGCTTTTCCCTATATTCACTTAATTTGTACGTACTAGACGTGTTTCCAACTCAAATGAGAGGGACAGTAGTCAGTCACTAAATTGTAAATTCTTTGGGTCTACTCCCAAGTCTCCTATTTTCAGAACAGATGGATGTTCATCGAATTATATAGATATTCTTTCAACACAACATGGGTCAACGAAAAAGATTTTGAAAATCTACCAAACTACGAAAAAGCTATGATCTTTTGGAAAATGGGCTCCTATTAGTGCATAACCACATTAATAAATTCATACTAACCCATCAATTTGGGATCTAATTCAATTAGTATGGAATAATATTGATTCATATAGAAGGAAAAAAAATATCTATTCATTCAAACATTGTACCTATATCTATGGGATAGGGATAGAAAAAGAGGAAATGTCGAAAATTTCACATCATACTTCTGATCGAAAAATCAATTTGACCTATTTTCATGCTCATTGTTCAATGAGAAACGGGTCAAATTATACAAGATCAAGCCTATAAAGCTTAAGGAGTGATATATATATCTATAAAGAGAGGATTTATTAAATTTAAATAAAAATGAAGTAGAAGAACCTCGATTCCAAATGAATAAAATCAAAATTGAAAATGATCTTTTTGATTCTCTTGAAGAATGAGGGGCAAAGATCTTTTTACTGACGGAAATTAAACCAAGCTAATTTAGTAATTTAATTATCATTTAGTTACTTAGTTTGGATGATTGTAAAAATTATAATTATGGAAGATGCACGGGATCATAGCTCGTGCTAAGTAGAGGTGGCAAATCAACCCACTTAACTAAATTTACCCATACTCGCCCATGAATAGATGGGTATGGGTATCTTAAATTTTTGTATATGGGTATAAATGGGTTACCCAATAATACCCATTTATTTAAATGGGTATTATTGGGTAACCCATCAAACCCAATGAACCCATTTAGAATTTTCTTCCCCCCAAGTCTCTTATTTTCCCCCACTTTTTTTTTTTCAAATTTTTCATTTTGTCATGATGTTAACTATTTTTGTTTCATTATTATTATTATTATTATTTGTTGGTTTTATCTTATTATTTTATTTTCTCTTAATTTGTTAACTTACTCATTTTTTAGCATTACCAATTTATGATAAATTTTAGCCTATTTTCTTATCTTTATAAAATGAAATTTTAAATTTATCTATGAAAAAAATGTTAGGGGTTCAAAATTTTTGGATTAAGTTTTTATATTAATTTTTATAGTACTTAGTTCAAATTTTTATATTCTTATTATTCAATTATTAAATAATAGGTAATTTTGTGACATAGAGTATAAATGAAAAAAAATTGGTAATTAAGTTTATTGAACAATATAAGTAAATATTTAAAACTAATGATGGGTACAAAGAGTGGTATAAATTGATAACTTAGTTTGCAAAAATGAATTTAAATGAGTTTGCAAAAAGTTAAAATAAATGGGTTATAAATGGGTAATTATGTTACCCAATTCATTTTGTGACTTACCCATTTATACCCATCTAATTAAATGGATATAAATGAGTTGACTCACTTATATCCATTACTCATTTTACCCAACCCAAACCCGCCCAAGTCACCCATTTTGACACCTCTAGTGCTAAGTAAGGCTTTCTTTATTTCTTTGTCGGGTGTCCAAGAGTCCCGACCCGAACTGATTTGGTTGGCAAGTGCGGGTTCCTTGCAGTGTAGGTTGTCTAGTCCTATTAGTAAGTATTTGGTTTTGCAACTTTCCTTTCTAGGAGTGGTTTAAGTCAGTCAAGAATACTAGTTGATTTAGGTTTGGTCTCGAGTCTTTCTATATATACCAACAGTGGTGCTAGGTTATTACTCGGAAGAGTTAGAGTCTTGAGAATAGCTTTAAGAGAAAATCTCATAATTGAGATTCGTGAATTGTGGTAAGTGCAATGGCTTGATATTTGTTATTGTTTAATTTCGAGTTAATTAAATTAGTGAGTATTTGTTCTCCTCCTCTTCCCACGTATTTTTATGTGTTAGAATTGAGTACAATGAAAATTAAGTACAATGATCCGAGTATTAAGAGAGAATATTGATGGAGCAATTTTGAAATTGTCTTAATTAAGATGAATGCTGCGTGGTTGACGACGTGAATTATTACATACTATTAATAATTTATGGAAATTTGGGTTTTATTCTTACAGTCTGGAGATTATCCTAAGCAGTAAGTAAAACGGATTAGGTTAAACAGGAGTATGTATCACATCTTTCTTTAAATTCTCCAACATTGATGTCTTTTCAACTAAAATTCCACTGGTTTTTACATTCTCCCTTCCTCTTTCTTGTCTTTTTCTAGGGCGCACTTTTCCAAGACCTGAGTAGTATTTTATTCTGTCTGCGGCTGTTTGAATTTCGCTTCAGTTGCGGGAAAATCTTACGTAAGAAAAAGAACAGTATTTTGCGAGGGAAAGCCAGATACCAACGTTAACCTTAACCATGTGAGATGGGAACGAGATACCAAAATTTCGTGGATACTATCTTTAATTATAAGGTATGAATTTTCCCAGAAGAATCCCGTCAGACTTATTGTGTTTATTGACAATCGAATTTTTTCGTATATTGATTAATTCCAAATTGGGGTTTCTAAATTCGAATTAGATGAACTTGCCGTAAACCCTATTTTATTTCCTTGATCAATTAGGAAAATTTTTGGTACTTTTAAATTGTCGGACTTTTGGTTACGGGTCAGTTGGGAATTAGGAAGGTAATTAATTAGGGAAAAAAAAGGAAATAAATTACATTGAATCAGCTTCATCGTGGAACTAATTTGGCATATTTAAGTTAATCTGTGCAATGTTGAATGATTTTTAGGGGTGTCATTCGAACCCGGAGATGTTATCCACTCAATTCCAGAATTTGGTCCCCCATCCGGCGTTTGATGCTCATCCACTTAATAAAGCTTCTAGCATTTATCAGTCTTCACAAATAGCTGCGCCTGGGCTTGGGTGGATGCCTGATTTTCACAGTATAAGTTCACAGTATGGCGACTTGATGACTACGGGTATCGACCATAACGGTACCGGCTATGTATATCATGACTATTTGCCTCAAGGTACTCTTTTAGCTGCATGGATGTAGAACTTAGTGGATATGTGTGCTTGTGCATCCCTACTTTGTCTCATGACAATTATTGCAAATGCAGGTTTTTCTTTCAGTAACCAGGGTGCTAGCTCTAGATTTATTGCATCTGACGGGAATAACATGTTTACTTCTCTCGGAAAAAACCCAATTTCTGCTGAGGTCATTACTTCTCCGGAGCATATAGTTCTTATTAATGAAGGTTATCGATTCAACAACCAGGATATTGCCTGTAGATTTATCGCGCCTGATGGAGATAACATGTTTTCACCTTTGGGAAAACTGTCAATTTCTCCTGAGATCATTACTTCTCCAGAGCAGATCTCTTCAATCACGGCATGCTCGGATGTGGACCTGCATTCTGATGGTGAATACTGTGATGGAGGATCAACTTTTCCTTCCATCAGATTAAACTACTTATCGAAGCCATCATCGCAAAGTTGCAATCCGGTGCAACAAGGTAATCAGGGTATTGTTTTGGTTGTCCAAATTTAAACTATGAACTATGGCCACATGTGCAGGTTTGGTTGGTCTTTTTTTGATATGTCTGAACAGAGATGGTTATGAAAGACGTCATTATGTGATGATACTGCTGCTCAATAAATTCTTGTACTGACTAACTAGAAGATATAATGGAACAAGAGATGCACATGTGAGAAAATTGAGAGTTGAGAGTTGAAAAATGTGTCACTCTATGTAAAGCTAGGTTTAAAAAGATCCATTCATTTCGAGAAAGTAGATAGGAGGACCTAATGCCTCTGTTGAATTGATATGCACGATCAATCACTATGAACATATTCTTTATCAGCCTTTACCTCCAACATTTATTGTTTATTACATTCTGTATTGCTTCTTAGTACATATTGTTTTCTTATACGTTGCCTTGTGATAATTGTTCTCTTGTAGGGGAGTTGGACTTAGAAGATCAGAGACTTATGGAGGCCAATCAGAATGTTTATCATGAGGTTCTTCCTATACCATCTGTTCAACATGGGCAGATACCTTATCCAAACACATGCATTTTGGAACAGGTTTTTGATAGGATTCCTCAGGGGTCCAATTCTCTTGCCAGTCAGATTGCTGGTAATGCAATATCAACTCATGAAGACTTGTTGCAAGATCAACTTCCACAATTGAATCAATTGCCTGGACAATTGCAGTTTGATGAGCTGTCTAAGGCCCTCATCAGGGAGGTTGATTCAGAAAGCCAGTGTGACAATTATACCTCTAACGAAAGGTCCTTGAAGCTGAGCCAATTTTCTGTAGAGCAAGAATGTCATAGCCAGCAACAACAGCCATCTATTTTGCAACAAATTGGAGTATCAAAGATTGCAGATTCAACTAATTTGTCGATTCAGGACATTCTTCTTCAGTATATTCACCACAGTAATGATGTTCAGAATAAAGGGAAGAACCAAGCTACCTTTTTGAAGAAATTGCATGACATGCGATGCCAGGACAAAGACTGCAAGTGTGACAGGGACCGCGCACTTATTTGCCATTATGAAAACTGTAGCTACCTTTTTTGTAGCATTTGCAAGCCTGTCCGAGAGTTGTGTTCTGCTGATAGAGTTCAGTCAGGGTTGGGAGATTTAAGATCTGATCCATTGATGGCTGTCCATGGTAGAGAGTGTTCTGGCTCTGGCACTTATATAGGTGAAGTTGCTCTACCTCCTCCCAAACGCAAGAGGTTGGAGGATTGCTTTTTGTCTGGGAACGTTTCTTCTTCTCCGGATGCTGATTCAGTTGATGAATCTTTCAAATCTGGAGGGACTTCACAGTGCAAAAGCTGGTCTGAAAGTCCTCTGTGTAATAATGAAAATCAAGAAGTTACAAAAATGGAAGACTTATGCTTTCATGAGAATCCCATTCCAGATATGAAAAGAGAGAAGTTACACTCTTCAGAAGACACAGCTTTTGTAACATCAAATCATAACCCTGAAAATAGTCAAGGAGTGGCATATGGTGATGGGCCCTTTCTTTGTGGAAAGCTCAATTATGGGACTAGCAAATCTGGTGATTTGAAGTCTGACATTCTACCTGTTCTTGAGGAGCCAAACGTTGTCCAAGAAAAGGGGGGGATACATTATTTGTCCAAGCCTACCCAACCTGAATCAAAAGCTAAAGCAGACTCAAGAGAAGCTGCAACTGATAATCAATCAGGGACCAGTTTGGAGGATGTGAAGAAGCTACCTGTGTCATTGGTTGACTTTCTCAGTTCTGTGGAAATAAATGAACATATATGCAGTCTCAGTCAATCAGTGGCTCAGGTTTGTGCAACATACCCATTAGATTAACATTTTAGTTTGAAAGCTGCAGTAGAGGCTGCTGCGACATTTGTTTTGTTTTTGTTGCCTGTTCTTGTTTTTGTGATTACCTTTTGTGTCATGTAGATGTTTCGAACTTGTCCTTGCATTTTCTCCTGTGCAGGTCAAATATTTCTAGTGCTATTAATTCAAGTAAATCATCTTTCCATGATGAATATCATAGCTTTTTTTGTTTTTCTAATAGGGCATTACAACGGAGTCAAAAGAAAACCTCATGGAAAGTTGTGTTGCCGAAAACAAGTGCCAGTTGTGCAACATGGATCAGCTTGTCTTTAGCCCAACACCTATGTATTGTTCATCCTGCAATCTTCGCATCAAGCACAATTTGATATATTATTGGACACTAGATGAAATGGGTTCTAGGCATTGTTTCTGTACACGATGCTTTAAGGAGTCCCGTGGCGGTAGTATTACATTACAACAGGGGATGTCTGTATCTAAGGCACTACTTCAGAAGGAAAGGAATAATGAGGAAAATGAAGAATCGGTTAGCTCACTCATCTGTGTAGACTATTTCTTTTTCCCCTCCCCTCTCAATTAAAGTCTTTGTGTTCAATGTCTATGACATCTCTTCTATGTTCAGTGGGTGCAATGTGACAAGTGTGGTTGCTGGCAACATCAGATCTGTGGTTTGTATAATGCCAAAAGAGATGCAGAGGGAAAGGCCAAGTATATTTGTCCATATTGCCGCTTAAAAGAGATTGAAATTGGTGAGCATGTGCCTCTACCTGCTGCTTTTGGGGCAAAAGATCTTCCGCGTACAAAACTAAGTGATCATATTGAGCAGAGACTGTTTGGGAAACTCAAGAGAGAAAGAGAAGAGAGGGCGAAGTTTCTGGGTAAAGATCTTGATGAGGTAAGTTATCTATAGAACTTGGTTGTAAACCATTTTGTTGTTTTTTTTTCCTGGACGTGTGACAGTTGTTAAACAAATTTTACTGTTTGAACTTGGCTAATAGAAAGTCTAGTTCGATAACAGGATGATTTATGTACAATATCCACATGTTGACAAACCATTAATGCTAACACTATGGGGGAGATCAGTATCTTTCATTAATTTAGTAAAATATTGAGCTGAACTTTTTCTTACTGAATTTCTTGATTTAAGATAAATTAAACTTACCTACAACATGTGACAAATTGTCCATGTTAGAGGTTTTGACTTTTTTTTCCCCTTGTGAATTCTTAGATGTATGTTTTTCTTTTAATCACTTGCGTACTACCATAATGTTGTCCCTTTGTGAAATACTTGGTCGCTAGTGAATTGGCACCCTTTTAAAAGGAAAAAATAGCTGCTTGCTTAGCTGCAAATTGTTTCTAGTTAGAAAGATCTCATCATTTTGCATTGCCATCATGAAAGGAAAAAGGAAGACTGGCTGAAAAAAAATTAATTGTGAATTTGGATAGCCTATACTCTTCTAGTGCAAAATCATAGCAGTGTTATTTGTTGTATGATATACTTTTTGTGACTAGGTACCTGAAGCAGCAGAACTCGTTGTTCGTGTGGTCTTATCTATGAACAAACTTTTGCAAGTGAAGCAGCAATTCTTGGATATTTTTCCTGATGAAGATTATCCAGAAGAGTTCCCATATAAGTCCAGGGTAAGAGGTTGAGTTCTTATCAGGATATGTAGCAGTACTTGTAACTCATTAGTTTTTGATAGTTTCAGTGTAATTTTTGGTAATTTTGCTTCTGTAATTGGACTGTTTAGTGGAATTGATCTGATCCTTGTTTATACAAATCTTAAACATAAGCTAATTGTCAAAATGTAATATCATATAACAGTTAAAGTTGGCCCCAATAAGACAATGCCTTGCAACTATATTTCCTATCAATTGCTGCCTCTTATGAATAATATGTTGATATGTGCTATGAAATAGTATTCAGAATAGTAGGTGGGGGAAAGAATTCAGAAAAGGGGAAATGTCCAACTCAATACTACATCAGGAGTTTTATATTTCTTTTCTGGTTTCTATTTTTTCTTACATGGAGATATCCTGGATGCTTAATATATCCTTGGTGTACAGGTGATCCTATTGTTCCAGAAAATTGAAGGCGTAGATGTATGTCTATTTGGTATGTATGCCCAGGAGTTTGGATCAGAATGTGGTCAACCAAATCAGCGCTGCCTCTATATCTCATATCTGGATTCTGTCAAGTACTTTAGGCCTGAAATAGAAACTGTTTCTGGTGAAGCTCTTCGCACCTTTGTATATCAAGAAATTTTGGTACTTACTCTTTTCTGAAATCACTCTCTTCTACTCCTCCTAGCTGTGTGAAAATTTTCATATATATTACCTATATGCTGGTTTTATGCTTTTCTTGGTCATTGTTGCAGATTGGTTATCTTGATTACTGCAAGAAACTGGGCTTTGCAACCTGCTATATATGGGCTTGCCCACCAATAAAAGGGGAGGATTATATTCTGTACTGCCATCCCGAGACTCAGAAAACGCCAAAGCCAGAAAAGTTGCGGCAGTGGTATATGTTTCTGACTCTGTTTTCTGCGACACTTCTTTTTTTCTTTTTTCTGTTTACAACTATCTCAGAAAACCATTTGACACACTCATGCTTGCAAATCAGTATTGCTTGTCATGCTACTGGAGATCTTGGACTTGCAACCTAGTGGATCTTTGTATTTGGTTAGGTTCCTCCTTAGGCTCAATACATAGGTTCTTTTTCTGTGATCTATGACATCACTCGTTTACTACATAAAAACTGCCTTTCTATGAGTTACATCAACCTAGACCTTTGCAGTACACCAATTACAGGATCCTTGAGTGGCAGTTTTGATCTCTTTAAGTTATTCAGTGTGTAGTTGTTAACAATGCCATAATTTGTTTGTGTGATACCTTCTTTTACTTTGAATATCTATTTGCAACTTCTTTTGTGCCTTTGCATGCTTTACTAATACTACATTTGCAGGTACAAGTCAATGCTTAAGAAAGCGGTGCAAGAGGGTATCGTGGTGGATTACACCAATATGTATGATCGTTCTTTTATTTCAAATGGGGAGTGCGGTACCAAGATAACAGCAGCTCGTTTGCCATATTTTGATGGAGACTATTGGTCGGGGGCTGCTGAGGAGATGATAATGGACATGAGAAAGCCAAAAGGAGAAGCACGAGGGAAGGTCAAAAATTTGACAAAGCGATCTCTGAAAGCAATGGGACTTGACAATCTGACTGATGATGCAACAAAAGATATCCTGGTGATGCAAAAGGTAATTTCTGCTCAACATGTTAAGGGTCCTTTATTTGCAAGAATGCATTTTATAGCAGTATTTTGTTACCATTTGCATAGGTCTGGATTCTGATCTTCTGATGAGCATGACCTTGATATGTTGGGTCAACTAAACTGGCAACCCCTCAGTTTTGCCAAGCTATATAGACCTCACTTGAGTTTTTAAAACTTGCAAGGAGCTTAGGCATGACTTTAACTCCAGATTAACGCTCTAGTATTACAACCATGGCCCTTATCAAAAGAAAAGGATCAGAACCACCTAACAAAAATATGAAGGAATAAATTTCGTTATATATGGCTATTGTAAATGTATGCAATTTACATGCTTTTGGTTTCAAATCTATACCAAAAGAAGAAACATAACTATCAGTAAGCAGCTTGTCTATCTATATGTGGTCCATTAACTTTCTCCATTTTGGACTTGATTGAAATTACATCCTCTCAAGTTGCGATTTGAAGGAGAACAAAACATCCCTTGTACTGAAAATGAAAGAATAGAATTAAAAAAAGGAGAGAAAAGCATGTTAATCATTGCTTGGATCCCTGTTGGAGCTGCTTAATAGTCCCAAGCCCCTCTTCCATCACCTCCTTGTTTAATTACTTGCTTTTGTCACCGGTATGCACTAGTAAGCAATATTTTGCATGGTTATAGTTTGATATGTGCTACTATTCATGGTTTTCGGAATTATAATTACTTATTAGCATCATTAACATGGGATAGTGAATCCTGGCTGAAGCCAAAAGTATTAAGTCAGCAACTTTCTTATTTATGTAATTGAATTATTTAATATTGCTGTTTAATCGTTCTCTTTTTCACTGACAGCTGGGCCATACCATCTTACCTTTGAAGGAAGACTTTCTAGTCGTCCACCTGCAGTTCACTTGCAAGAACTGTCATAACTTAATTCTATCTGGTGCACATTGGTTTTGTAACCAATGCAAAAATTATTATTTATGTTCAAGGTGATTATCTAGTTCAAGTTTTTTGCTTATTTTGTACTTCTGCCTCCTCCTCTTTGTTGTTCATGAATCTTTGTATCTTAAAGATTATTAACCTACTTGATTTTATTTTAATTACGTGTTTTTCTTCATATTGGTTTGTCTTTGGCTCATGCTGTTGATTGTTTCTTATGGTATTTACAAGCTTTGACTTGCACTTTAAGATTAGCAATTTTTTATGGCTATGTTTTAGGTCAAAAATTGATGTTTGAATACAGAATACTTAATTGAAGGATTCATCTCATCCTTTGTGGAATAAGAAAAGGAAAAAGAAAGGAAGAAAAGGATAAAGAATGTGCTTTTTGCCAATGCTCCAAGACATTTTTCTAGTTTTTCAAGGGAATTCTTTTCAGAAAAAATTGGTGGACTTTTAACTGTTTGTTAGTTCATGCGTGAATCAACAATAAATTGTGGCATTACTTATTCGATATTGTATAAACTGCATTGATTGTAAAATTTTTTGACCAAGATAACTTATCATTAAGTTGTTTGACCAAGGCAATTGTTTGGATGCATGTTTTTAGGAAGAGTTTGCAATAGCTTTTTTTTTTGGTATAATTGTGTGTAACAGAAAGGTGGTTGGAAAATGTGTGGAGAGTTTTTCAGAATAAGTTCTCCCCCAGACAAAAATATAATATGTGTATAGATAGCATAATATGTGTATAGATAGCATAATAATTCTAGTAGTAAAACTAGAATCATAATAATAAGTGTGTTCTTGTTTCTCGTGTTTATTGCAGATGCCTTCAAGTGGAGCAAACTCCTAATGAGACAAAAACACATACTTCCTCTGGCGGTGAAGAACATTTCCTGTCACAGGTTATTTCTTACCTCTGAAATTGCAGGAAGAGAACTTTTTTTTTTTGTGCATTAAATTTACTGTCTAACCTCCTTTCTACATTTTTACGTTGAAAACTTTAGCCTTCTCAATATGTTGTGTCTGTGGATGCTTACTCTTTGCAGGTCACGGTTAATGACATACCTATCGATACTGCAGAGAGTGATGTCATTTTAGATAATGATATCTTTGAAAATCGCCACTCTTTCCTGAGTTTCTGTCAGGGAAACCATTACCAGTTTAATACTCTTCGCCGTGCCAAGCACTCGTCAATGATGATCTTGTATGATCTCCACAAGCAGATGCCATTTACTATGGTGACAACCTGCAGTATTTGCTTTAGAGATATCATGATTGGAGCAGGATGGCATTGTGAGAGTTGTCCTAGCTTTGACATTTGTATTACATGCTACCATAAAAGTGGCAAAGGTTGTCATAACCACAAGTTGGTCCAGCATTTGACTAAAAATCAAGCACAGCGGAAGAAAGCATTTCAGGTATATCTCTGAAGTTTCTATTTTGATGGTTTCTAATTCTCTAGTTATCAGCATTTCAGGTATAGCACAACTAGAAAAGAATAGTGAACCCTCAGAGTGGCCTGGCATAGGGATGGCTGCCTTTGGGATTTGGGTGAAACCTTCCTGCAAGTTAGCCCAAACACCTAATATCTCGCTGGTAGAGTTTGTTGCCTATTGCACATGCCAGTATACCAGCTGCATACCCAAAGTGTAGTGGCTGAGGGTTTACCACTATATGTTAAAAAAAAAAAAGAATGAAAAAAAGAAAAGAGAGTAGGTATCTGTGTATTTTATAATGAAACTAAACAAGTTTCTAACTTTGCTTAGGTCCATTTTGTTGATTTGGAGAAATAATATCGTTCTTTATCGATTCATGTACATGGTGCAGGTGGAAGTTCTAAATGCATTAGATCAAGCCTCTCAATGTCATGTGACAAGAAGCAGCCCTTGCTCACACCCTCGGTGTCTTCAAGTTAGAAAGCTTTTTCATCACTCAAGTCAATGCAAAATTCGGCATGCAGGGGGTTGTCAGTACTGTTGGAAAGTATGGTTCATGATACGTACACACTCAAGGGTGTGCAAGGATTCCAGGTGCCCAGTGCCACGATGCATGTACGTTACATTTGCTATATGCTATATGGTGCAGCCTATACTTTCTTGCTTCTAAGTTGCAACTTTTTTTGACCCACATTTCTCATTATCCAGGGATGTTAAAGAGCAAACTGAAATGTGGTCAAGGAAGTCAGAGATGCGCAGAAGGGCTGCAGTCAAAAGTTTAAAACTGCTTGAGGTTTCATGCGACAGTTGATTGCCTGATGTACATGTGGCAGAATCATCTTACTTATAAAACAGTTCAAAGGCCGTAACAGGACTTTTTTGTGTAGTGATAAACAGAAACTAGGTTTCAAGAATCTGGTCCATTATTGGTTGACAAAGCTGCTCCCTGTCATGGGTGGATAAGAGTCACATTAGCTTGCAGACTATGCTCAGAAATTCTTGGGCAATTTTGCTTACAGATAAACGAGAGGAAACTGTATATAACATAGATTAGGATATCATAGGTAACAATCTTCTAATAATTAAACTTACCTGTAAAAAGTGATCCAGAACAAAGTAGTTTCAGCTTGAGTCCGATATGGCCTGATAAAGTAGGTTCACATTTGTATTTGTATAATTCTGTTAGCTTTCTCGGCTGTCTAGTTCTTCTTCTATCTAGTGGCATCATCGAGATGATTCTGGATGTATGGGTATTTGATGTATTAAAGTTTTATTTTTTCTTTTTTGAACACAGATTGCAGCAGAAGCTGTATGTATGCATGATTTCTTCAAATAAAGATAAAAGATTATCTTAGGTCTCCTTCCCATATTCGGGAATAAGAATTTGACTTTATTTGTTTATCATGGTTTTGTTATGGCGATGAATAGTTATACCCCTAAAAGGAAAATCGCTGGCTGTTCATTATCTGCTTGATGTTGCCATCTGAATCGGCCTTGAGTCATTAAAAAATACAAAGTGAAATAACTTTAAATAATTTGTGCTCACACCACAAACACAATCAGTCGAGACTCTAATTAAGAAAAAGTATTACAACTACACTTTTCGGATGGTCAAGCTGGATCTGATTTTCCTTTCTTTATTATCTTTTTATTACTCTTTTTCAAGTATGAAAATGTGCTAAAACGTTCATTTGATCTAGATAAATGTGTCTCTCCTCTAGTCTCTTACACAATTCAATTGGTTTCTCTTTCCTTGTAAAAATAGGATAGTATAGAATTAGGAGTGTCAGAGAATCAATCAAATTAATAACCCGACAAAACATGCTTGCTTCCATCGTCAGTCTCACTACCTCTCATTTCACTTTAGAAACCCTCTTTTTCACTGTCTATTTTTTTTAGATCATCTCACCTAAATTGAGTGTTCGATTGAGTTCAAGATCGAGTTTAAATATGCTTGAGTTAAAAAAATGCATGTTCAATAAGTTCGAACTCGAGTACATACCTATCGAGGATCGAGTTCGAGTTCAAGTAAAGTGACGTTCGAGGTCGAACCGATAGATTACACCGTTGCTGATTGACCGGAAAAAAAAATATATATGAACATGTGCTTATCACTACACGCATGAATGTGAAACGGTTATAAGTTGGGTTTAGACGAAGCTCCTCTTTCTCATTCGGGAGAATCGGGACAACAGCAACACAGCAATTTATTACTACTATTTTGGGAATTTGGTTGTTTGAACTCGAAAAGTTAATGTTAGCAGACCAGGAAAAAAAAATATATATATATATATATATATTTTTTTTTTGGTGCGCATGCGCGGCTTTACACTCCTATACCTTGAGATTCACCAAATTCTTACTAGATTCTTAAGTTTCGCTAGAGGGGCTTTGAGGAGGTGAAAAGACAAATAGATAAAAAGTCCCTGGAATCCGTCCAGAATGTCCAGCACCAACCATTGACACCAGAACATAAATTGTACCAAGGACCAGAATAAATACGAGAACAGAGCATCCTTGGCATTGAGAAGTCTATTTGATGGTGAAGGCTGAAGCTTGGATCTTCAACCAAAGTTCATCAAACTTTCAAAGGAAAACATTCTAATCTTTCTCCATTTCTCCTCTCCCTATCCTTCCATCCAGACGAGTGGCAGCTATTGTTAGATGTAGAAGAAAACCCAATGGTTTTTGGTTGCAGAAAAATGAGCTTATTTCATATATGAACGAATCAGCCTTAGCTCTGTATCATCTTTTGCCTTTCCAGGAGTCTGGTAGGGAACAATATCACAGTCAATGAGCATGTAAATGGCTACATAGCCTAAATGCTCTGTGCAGCAGTTCATGGTAAAAAATGGACAAATTTGAATTTAGATGATTAGGACTAGATGTTGAACACTATTTTCAAAAAGTGATAAAATTTGTCATGTTTTTGCAATTTGTTCTTTTATTGTCAACATTTGTTGCTTTAACGTCTAACAGTATCTATTGTGCTAGCTCTTGAGCTGCCCAAGTATATAGTGTCATAACTAGAAGAGAGATGCCCGATACAGGTGCCACGAAAATGCTACTGCAGAAAAAAACAAACCCTATACCACCTGTACAATCAAGAACATATAATAGTTTTGGGACGATGCAAATTTTTGGCTGTGGGAGGCCAATTCGCTCCAAATAGATGGCAAGATCTAATTTACGACCACCAAATATTTAGGAGTCCATCTACACATTTGGGTCCTCGATAGGCGCAAGTATCATAAAGGTTACGTATCAAAAAGTACAAAAGTGAGACGGGCCTAAGCAAGCCTTTGACACAAACAATTAAGTAAATCATGAAATCAGAGTTAAGAAACACCAGTTCACTGTTTGTATATAGTGGCCATGATCACTACAGTTATCGACATTTCAATTGTCAATCAATAGAGGCCCCCACATCCCTAATAATAACAAAAGGGCAAAACCAAAATACTCTCATCTAAATTGGCTGTCGTCATTGACTAACCTCCTAAAATAATGCACACTACTACTACTACTACACAAAAGAGACCTCTAGGCAGCAAAAGTAGAGAACTCCTAGGGAACATTTAGGGCATGCACTGTCATGTTGTAAGGAAATTCCACACTTTCTTCGCAACGGATACTTCACCAGGGTGATCAAACTCGTCCACCTCATCATCCTCTTCGTATTCGAGAGGTTGACCTTTGTTCTCCACATATCTGTCCTCTCTCGCCCTTTCTGGGGTCCCATTTACCTCATCCCTCGTATCAAACTCAACTTCAACAGTGTCACTGACACCATCTTGAGCAACTGTTGCATCTTTTAACTGTCACAAGAGGGTAGAAATGGATCAGTGTTAGCAATAAACGTAACTACAAACTGCATGTGATCCTCCACATGATCAAATCGATTTTCATCAGGGTTCCTCAATACCCCTCTTACCATTGCTACAAGAAACATATTGAAAGAAAAATGATGGAGAGCCTGGACAAGTGCCTACAGAAGAAGGTGTGCATAGAAAAGTATAAACAAAATCCTTATCATTCAGTTCCCTACTCCAGAAGGGATTAGGGCTGCCAATTTCCATTTTCTCTAAAGCCTATCGGCACTCCAAACATTTCCGGCATCAACACCAAACAGAATTTCCAGTTCATGGCAAACCATCTCAAGGCTTCAAATACATAATCTAATGCTCAGCAAGAGTAATGGGTCACGCGCACACGTGTGTGTGTGTGTGTGAGAGAGAGAGAGAGAGAGGGGGGTACCATAACAGGACTGTCTGCTGAAAACTCATGGGCAGTAGGGATGCTTTTTATCTCACCACCATCTCCTTTAGCACCCTCAGAAGCAGAGCCTGCAGCATCAGAATCTCGAATTTCTTCCACCGAAATCCCAGCAACTTCAACATTATTGGAACGTGTGGCTTTAGAACCAGTTATTTGTTCTACATGACTACTATGTCCACCAATTTCTCTATCTTTCTCCTTGCTGGGATCAGACAAGACTCCATTAGCAGCTGCTGCAGCTGCACTGGACCACAACAAATGCCTTTTCAGTATTTAAGATTGATGGTTGAAGGATGAAACAAAAGGCAGGGGATGGGGTGTAACACAATGCATGTGAAATAAGAAAGATGGCAAAGAGATGTTATTTGTCATTAAATTAAACTCGTGAATGAAAACTGGTGGTCCAAAAAACAGGATCTGGAATTCCTGTAGCATCTGGAGTCTAATTTAGTTTTCAAAAGGTCACAAACCAGACACAAATAAATACTATACGTTCAAATAAAGCAACATACCTTCTAGGTCGCCGGAGATTGTATCGTTTTTCACCAAGAGTTTGAACAGGTGGTGCTACTCTTCGTCTCCTTTTCCGGTGCCCTTCACCGGTGACGCTACCAGAATATCCACTATATTCACCATCATGCTCGCTGGGGGTTGCTTGTGATGTTTGTGTGAGGTTTCTCTTTCTTCCGTTTACCGCTGCTCCTGATTCTCCACGACTTTCTTCGTTAACAAAAATATTGCCATTAACACGCTGACCATCGCTCTCAACAAAAGCATCCTCATCAATAACCCTGCGGCGGTCTGCAACAGACACCTTCCCAGACCCTTCTCTATTAATTTTAGGCCTCCCTCTCTTACCATGTCTCCTCTTCTGTACCTTTGGATTAGAATGCTGGGACCTACGGTCATTAACTGATGGATCTGGACCAGCTTCGAACTCCCTGGTGCTGTTGTCAGACTGAATTCTTTGGATATCAAGAGAATCTTCTGCAACTCCAAAAGAAATTTTCGGTTCATTTTCACTGCTCGGCAATGTTTTTCGTGATTCTACATTAACAAGACTCCCAGGCAAGGAAGCTCCGTCAGTCAGACCTCGAGCAGCAGTAAATTCAATCTTTTTGCCGGGCGAGAATCTGAATATGCTTGAAGTACACTTTCGAAGCCATGATATAGTCCCACCAGAAGCTGGGGAACCTAATTCAACTGCGCTGGGGGATATCTCTATATTTTCTGTCTCAGAATTGCCATGAGCAGCCCCCCTCAAATAATTCTCAGCTATTTTTGGCAGCACAGGTGCCTCTAGATTGTTGATCCCATCCAAAGATTGAAGATCAGATGTCACAAACTCACGAACTAATTCTGCACAACTTTCGCAACTCTTCTGCTTGTCAACAAAAGCAACAAATCTTTCTCTTTCTTTGACAAGTTGTTCTCTCTGATCTTTCAACTTCTTACTAAGAACAACAAGCTCATCAATATCCTTGCGCATTTCACCATGCTGCACCTCAAGCTGCTTCTTGTTTGCAAAAATTTCCTGCTTTTCATTCTCTAAGGCATGTCTTTTGACCTTCAACTCTTCCATTTCTTGATGGATTGCATTCTTGAGATTATTGATGTTGTTAAGTTCCCTTTCTCTGTCTTGTTCAAAAAAATTCTTCATCTCATGCAGTTGATTCTCCATCTCTTCCTGCTTCTTCTGCATATCAGACTCAAGTTCCCTTTTCCGGATTTCAAAATCATCCAGCATTTTGCTTCTCTGACTTTCAGTTTTTTCAGCTAGTATAGTCCTTTCATGCTCCATTGTGGCAGCAAATGAATGCCTAGCCACTTCAAGAGATTCCAACTCTCTTCTAACATAATTCTCAGTTTCCAATTTCTCATTTTTCAACCTTTCCTCTTCAGCCCATCTCATTTTTTCAAAGTAGTTTTTCTGTTCGGCAAAATCAGCAAGTTCTTTCTTAACCTCAGTTTGTTTCACATCCAGCTCTTCCCAGTCTTTCTCAAATCTTAATCTTTCCTGCTTCAAATCCTCAGCCTCCTTTAGCAGCAATTCACTTTGGAGCCTACATTTGTCTATCTCTTG